CAGAGACTAGAGGAGACTACAGGCCTCAGCCCCTCACTTCCAGGGTGCTCCTTTTATGAGCCCCACAACCAGGGTCCGTAGCTAGTCAGAGGGCTGCTGCCATAATGGGCAGGGAGAGGTGGGAGCCCCTCCTCCATCTCCTGGGCCTCCAAACCAGCCCTGAACCTGTACAGCAAGGTCCCTCCCCATCCCGCCCCCAATCCTGCAGCAGCCTGGCTCCACCCTGCAGCCCAGAGTGGGGTGGGTTTGCTCTCAGCAGCTCACTGACCTGAGGTCCAGTTCCAGCCCTTGTGCCAGTTCTCTCTGCAGGTGACTGCATCCTTGCAGGCCTCCCACCACAGATCACAGTCCTCCTTGCACAGCGGCACGTTGAGGATCCTCTCCCGGCGCCAGCTATTATCCACCTGCCAGGGCACGGGGCTGTGAGCATCAGGGGGCAGCTCTGGGCTCCTCCCAGGGGCAACCTCAGCCTCCCCAGGGAGCAGGGGTCAGACACATGCTCTCCCCCACCCCAGCTCTAGCTCCACTGAATGGAGCCAGTGCAGGTCTCAGCAGACCCAGGCCCAGTCCCCAGGGGGAAGGGAGTTTCTGAGCCGCAGCATCCCCAGCGCAATAGGCATCCCACGCAGCCCCCCCAGGCGAGGGGCAGGCCAGCGCCGTGGCCAGGGAAGAGATCCTGGATTTATTGCAGAGCCCTGCCTAGGAGCAGCGTCCGCGATCTTAGCTAGGGTTACCATATCATAAATAAAAAAAGAGGACCCTCCACGGGCCCTGGCCCCACCCATTTCCCCACCCCCTAGCCCCACCCCAACTCCACCCCTTCCCCACCCTAACTCCACCCCCTCCCACTCCCAGCCAGGGGGAAAGGGCTGCCCCAGTGCTACCGGCTTCAGGGTTTGCCGGGCAGCCCCCAGACGCTGTGCCCCCAGCCGGCACGTCCCCAGCGCAGCTGGAGCCCGGGAGGGGAAGTGCCCAGCCGGGGGCGCAGGGTCTGGAGGCTGCCAGGCACACTGTGAAGCCGGTAGCGCTCGGGTTTTGGGCAGCCCCTATGCCTCCGGACCCTGCGCCCCCAGCCGGGCACTTCCCCTCCCGGGCTCCAGCGGCGCAGAGTCCAGAGGCACGGGGGCTGCCCGAAGCCGGTAGCGCTCGGGCAGCCCGGCTCTCAAACAGAGCCGAAGAGTCGGGGAGGAGCAGAGCCGCCATTTTCCCGGACATGTTCGGCTTTTTGGCAATTCCCCCTGGACGGGGGTTTGACTGCCGAAAAGCCGGACATGTCCGGGAAAAAGAGGACTTATGGTAACCTTATCTTAGCTGTTGCCTCCCCAGCAAACACGCTGCACGAACCCGCCGCACCCCCGGACAGAGGCAGCATCAGTCCCACCGAGAGACCAGCCAAGCTGGGGTCTTGCCCAGAGCTCAGCACCGGGGCCAGGCTCTCTGGAGTCCTAGACAGCGGGGGGGATGGCAGGGCCCCAGGGGCCCGGCCTGGGGAGGGAAGATAAAGGAGCTGTTCAGTGCAGCCTCCCAACCTCAAGACGCTTTGCGGGGATTGTCCTGCCCACATGCAATGGGCCCTGGCTGGATACGGGGACACCAGCCGCCAGTGGAGAATTGAACCTGGGGCCTTCGGCACAGAAAGCACAAGGCTGGACTACTCAAGCTGAAGGAGCAACTCCGTGGGGTGCTGGAGAGAGTGAACTGTTAGGACCTGCCAGTAGAGGGAGCCGTGACCACATGCACTAAGCCAGCCTTCTCTCCCACCCCCAGTGCCCAGCCCCAACGCCCCCTGACCTGGTCGATCCAGGGCCCCAGGTTGGGCGAGCACTCGTACAGACACGTGTCCTGGATGAAGTGCTGCTTGCACTTGTCTGGCATCACCCCGCAGTGGTTCCAGTTGAAGTTGTACAGGTAGGACTGGTCCTGGTGAGCCCCCTTGCTGGTCTCGGCCGTGCAGCAGGCGTTGTCTTTCCACGGGGCACACTGCGAACACAGCGAGAGACGGGTACGCAGGGGACTCCGGCAGCTCGTCCGGGGGCAGACAGGATGCGGTGGATGCAACCGCATCACCGGCCTCCCGTGGTGCCTAGTGGGACTGCTCTGGTATCAGAGCACTGGTAGGGCCATGGCTAAGGACCAGGGATTGAAGGGCAGAGATGCTTTTTGGCCGAGTGCTTGGAGATCTTTAAGGCTACAAAATGCTGTGAAGTGGGGAAGCTACAGACTGGGGGCAGGAGGGGCAGCCACCGAGCTGATAAATGATGTTTGATTAGGGCCTGCAGATCTATTCCCCCTCCCCCAATTGTGATCTCCTCTGTGGGATGCTGGGTAAGTGCGGATGGGGGGGGGGAAAGAGAAGAGATGCAAAGAGGAGACAGACCAAATTCGTCCAAATGAAAAAGCCTCCTAGTGACAAGGCACCACTTCAACACGAGCCTTGAGTTAAGGAACCTTGGACTAGAAATCTGAACTGAATTAGTTCATTGAGAACACATGTAACCGGTGAGCAAAGTGAGGGGATGGGCTATACTGGCCCAGAACTCTTTTGGTCAAAAAGCCCAGCACGCCTTTTGATCTAGAGGAAAAAGGCAGACCATGCAAGGACTTTGGGAGGAAGATCAGACCGACTGCTGGCTGGGAGAGGGGGGAAAAGGAAAGGATGGACATGGCTGCCTCCCCCACCATCTCCTGCAATCCACTGGGACAGCTTCCTCATCCTGATCCCAGGAGATGCTCTTACCAGCCTGGGCTAGACAGCGAAACCCACCTGACATCACCACCTTCACTGGCTCCAGCTCAGTCCTGGCCACCGAAGGGGATGAGAGACTTTGGTTCCTGCCGTCACCTGCTCCACTCCCCACCACATCATTTTCCTCCCTCACCTGCAGTCTGCTTTCGTACCCCCCCCCCCCCCAATATGTGCCTTCTGTTTAATAAGAGTCTGGCTTTTCCCACCAAGCCTGTATCCTGCAGCACTGCTGGGAGCCTGTGACCAGAAAGGCAGCACCTGGTTCAGATGCAGCTGATCAGACCATGTGCTGGGGCTTTCTCCAGCAGGGAGGTTGCAGAGAGGTTAGGCAGCACCAGACACAGAAGCTGCATAGCCGAACTTCTCTGGTCTTTTTTCTGCCCCTGTAAGTGTTGGTCTGGTTTTGTCTTCTAGGAAGTGGGCTCAGACTTAACAGCGCCAGATCAGTTCTAATAATGCCTCTTTCCCCACAAGACTGTTACCACCATCTCCTAGCTGCCAGACAGCTGTGTGTGGGGGGGGGGGTGGGCAGGGGTCTCTGCACCCTGCTACACACAGGCACCACCCTGCAGCTCCCAGCCAATGGGAGCTGTGGAGTTGGCGCTCAGGGCAGGGGCAGCATGTGGAGACCCCCTCCCAGGGGCCGAAGGGACGGAATGGCCGCTTCCAGGAGCGGCCTGGAACGAGGCTGAGCAGGAAGCCTGCCTTCACTCCACTGCGCTGCTGGGGGTCCCTGGGTCCTTTTAAGTCACCCAGGCCCCTGGACAATCTCCCCCATTCGCCCCCCCACGAAAGCAGGCAGGCCTGCCAACAACAAACTCTACAGCGAAAAGGGAATGGGAACAAGGAATGTTGTCAAAGTTACAGCCTTACTCAACACGGTGTTTCAAGTTAGGTTTGCCCCCCTTCCCCCCCCCCCCTTTAACAAAGAGAGGTCTATCTGTAATGGTGGCCGTCGCCATGGTCTTAAGCAGGCTGAGGTGTTTGTATTCAGACCCCCAACCCACATTCAAAACACTGAGCTAGACAGTGACAGGGTGAGGTTAACACCTTGGATACTTGGGCCTGTACATGATGGAAACCACTTCAAGTCAGGGGGTGCTGCAGAACCAGCCCTGCACCCCTAATTCCAGTACCTGTGTTAACACCTTTGCTACTTGGGCCAGTTTATTCTAGTGACATTAACAGGGACATAGCCAAGTCCGCCCACAGAATCAGTGGCAGAGCTGGGGCAGCAACACAGGAGTTCTGGCTCCCCGGCCCTCTGCCCCAGTCCGAGACCTTCCCTAGGGCACCAGCAAGGGACAGGCCTCTTTTCAGAAAGATGAAGTAGCCCGGTTTGCATGGCTTACTTCGCTGCTGCCAGAGAGCTGGTCTCGTTGCCAGCCTAAGGACGCTGGCATCACGACCCTGCTTGCCTCAGCCTCCTAGGGTTGTGAGAGAAACCCCCAATTCTTGGTGTGTTGCCAACACCTCCAGCTTCCTGCAGTGCAGTCCTCCATGGCCCCAGAGAACCCGGTGTAGGGAACAAGCCTGCACTGGAAGGGACGGCAGGCCCAGGTGACTCAGTTACTCCTCACCCAAAGCTCCAAGTGGTCAGGGATGGGACTGAGGTGTGTTAGTAGGACAAGACCGTACCTGGCCATGCAGCGCCCCCTCCGGGCCTGGCTTGGTTTTGTGGTGCTTGGCATCCATGCACATGTTCAGCACAGATTCCTTCGTAGCACTGGCCACGCAGGCAGCCAACAGCCCCAGCACAGCCCACCGCACTGCCATCTCCCTGGGACCAGAACGAGAGGGGGTAGGGTGGAAGAGAAGACACGTTAGCGCAGCTGCCAAGATGTGGCCTGGCTGCCTTCATTAGAATGGGCAAAATAGGGGCATAGCTCCGAGCGCACAAAGGGGCTCCCCAGCCAAGAGCATCCGTGCTGGCCTGCTACCGCGACTGGTGCTCTGCAGAGACCCAGGAGAGAGACCACAAAGCCTCCTCTCTACAGGAGCTTTTACCCGCTAAACATCCCACCTAGGCAACCTGGGGCAGGCACTTCCCCAAACCCTAACCCCAGGGTGACTGCTTTGCCTTGCAAGGGGCTCTGAGCGGAGCTCCCAATGTCTTGCCTCAGAGTGTGCGAGTTTCTAACCTAGCTATGAGCTCCCCTCCACCCTACAGCCACCCATGGGTGTAGTCATGCCACACCCTTGGTATTAGCCAATGATGCAGAACCAGACACTGGTTGCCTCATCTGAGCTTTTTCCAGAGAGTCAGCAATGGCCACTGAGCTTAACCCTGGCCAGCCAACACCACTAACCCCACCAGCAGGCTTCCGGGCTGGAACCGTAGCCTGAGAGGAGACCCATGGGGTGTATTCCCCCCCTTTTGTTAGCTCTGTGGTTCTCCAACAGGGAGTCTGAGGAGGCTAGGTCACAGCCAGCCCTGTCTGGTTACTTCCAGTCTGCTGGGCCAGGGTGGACCGATGGGCCAGTTACACACTAGCAGAACCTTAGGCTGCCTGGATCACAGGCTCCAAGAGCAGACTCACAGCCCACCAACACTTGGTCACAGGAAACGTACAGTCACAGTTATTCCTGTTCATTTCAGGTCACTGGGCTCGCCACCCCTGACATGGGGCTTTTACAGGCATTAGAAATTGGAAGCTAGTACAAGGCCTTGTACTATTTGATTATCACTTATTCCCTCTTGTTCAATCTCTTCTTCCCCCTCCCATTAGACCAAGTGGTTTCCTCCACCTTCTAGTATTACCCTATAAACCACAGATAGAAGGTTCCACTGCTGCAGTTTTTATAGAAGCAGATCTCCCCTGAAACATACCTGTCCACCCAGCCCAGGAACAAGACATACATGGGTCACAGCCTAGTGTTAGAAAGCAAGTCATACCCCTCTAGAAGCAAACAGCAGGTACAAACCTAATCACATTGACACCTGGACACCAGCCAGCCCACAGCACAACAGAAAAACATGACTAGCCCATACCTTGCTGGAAAAAAGTCCTTCACCACTGCTTCAAGCAAGTGCTCACCACAGCAGACAGGCTTCTGGTGGCAGCTTTAATAGTCAAGTCCTTTAACCACAGGTGTTAACCCCTCCACACAACCGGTTAATGAGGCTTAATGATAATCAGCGCTTGTTACCTGTAAACTGGGCTGCCCAGAGGATTCAGGGGGCCTGGAGCAAAGCAATTTTGGGGGACCCATCCATAAAAAAGAAGTTGCAATACTATAGAATACTATATTCTTGTGGGGACCCCTGTGGGACCCGGGGCCTGGGGCAAATTGCCCCACTTCCCCCCCCCCCGGGCGGCCCTGCCTGTAAATTAGCAGTTTTGCTAACAGCCAAAGAGCTCTGTGTGTTTGCTGGAGGGCAGCTTAGTCCCATGTTAAGAAGACAATCAAGCATTTCATCTCAAAGGTGAGATGTCTGACCAAGCCCTGGCCAAGGATTAGAACATCAGTCCCACCTGCTGGGCAGTCTTTGTCGGAGACTTTTTTCCTTTGCTCTGTAAATTTGGGCAGATAAAGGAGCCAGAGAAGGCCAAGATTCAGCTGTCTAATCAGCTGGGGCCTCTAGTCTAGCTTGTGTCTGCCATGACCTGGTCAGCCCCAAAGGAGACCAGAGGCCTTGCTCCGGAGAGGTGCTGGGCTTCCAAGTCCATGAGAGTTGCCGGCGCTCAGCACCGTTCACATTCATTCCTCACATTTGTAGCCCCTGTGGCTGCATCTAAACTCCTGGTTTTCTGCCCCCTCTCCCACAGGGGCAGCTCCACAGAGCCCATGGCTGATGTCTAGGTCTAGGTGAGAAGGAGGCACAAGGTCCTACTGAAAGAACAAAGCTCACGTAGGCCAGGCCCATCAGTTGTGTTTCAAGGGGGGGTGGTCTTGGGAAGGATGGGAATCAAGCTAGGTGGGCCCGGATCCTCAGAGGGACTTAGGCATTGCAACACCTAACTTGTAGGTGCCTTGAAAGTCTCTGCTATTCGCACGCCCTGTGTTAGACGTCTAGGCCAGGGGTTCTCACAACACATTTTTAAGTGGCCTCAGAGTGCGGCCACCAGCTCTTGCTGGGGGCCACTTTGACAATGTGTCCTAAAATACTGAATTAACTTTAGGAAAACCAAGTAAATCTGCACATATACGTGTCCAAATCATTGTCATTTATTTATATAGGATTTATTTTTTGCGGACTCAATCATAAAGATAACGTACAGTTGTCTCTATTCTTTACTGGACCTAAACAGAATAGAAATCAGGCGCTTTTCACGTTCTTGTCTTTTTTCTTGTTGTTTCTTTTGCCTTTTTGGCTGCTTTTTTTGTTTTTGTTTTAAAGACTTGCTAGCTACTAAGTCTGCTGTGAAAAGTGATATTAGCAAACTTGCAAATGTCACTTTTCACAGCAGACTTACTCAGCCCCGACAAACCTGGGGACAAATTAAAGCCTGGATGGGGAGGTGGGTAGGGAGGCAGAGGGGGCCAGGGGCGATTGGGGGCTGGGGGAGGCAGCAGGAGCCGGGGGTAATGGGGGAGGTGGTGAGCTCAGGGCCAGAGTGTGGCTGGGGAATGGAGCCGAAAGCCTCACGCTCAGGGGACGGGGCCCAGAGAAGGAGCCCGAAACCCCCTGGTTGAAGCCAGGCCTCACCACGTCCGGGAAGGTGGGGAACTCACCGGCTGCCCGCTCCTCCAACTTCTGTGTTTCCAGAGGGGGGCAGGGCCCACCACCTGCTGGCAGCCCTGGGGAGGGGCTGCTGCTCCACACACCCCCCCGCCCCCGCCCGCCAATCACCACAAGAAAAGCCCCGGGGCCGCCGCATGCGGCCATGGGTGGCTGCATTTGAGAAATGCTGGTATAGACTCCCTATGGAATGACTGGGCAGAGATAGGCCGGTGCCTGTGGATGGGATCCACATCGGGTTGTCAACCCTCCGGGGTTGCCCTGGAGTCTCCAGGAATTAAAGATTAATCTATCCTGGACGATTAGACCCTGGGTGGAAACCTCCAGGAATACGTCCAACTAGGGTTACCATATTCAAACGTTTAAAAAAGAGGACACTCCACGGGGCCCCGGCCCCGCCCCGGCCCCACCCCAACTCCGCCCCTTCCCGC